TCGCAGCTGCCCACAGGCTGTTGGACAACGCTTGAGGAATCATCTCCTCAACCTTGTCCGGTATGCGCTTTGCAAGCGCTGGCACGGCATCCAGCACCTCTGGCGATGCATCTTGGAGCTTCGCAGCTGCCCACAGGTTGTTGGACAGGTCCTGAGGGTTCATCTCCTCAACCTTGTCCGGCATTCGGTTTGCAAGAGCTGGCACGGCATCCCGCACCTCTTGCGATGCATCTTGGAGCGTCACCGCTGCAAGCATGCAGTTGGACAACTCTTGAGCCTTCATGCCACGAGCTTCCGCTCTCACAGCTCTGCAAAGCTTTGGCAGCACCTGCGTCATGTGCCTTTCAATGTCCTCGTAAAGCTCGCCCACCGAGTAGAAAACATTGGCCGCTTCACGTGGTGGCAGCAAATCGTCTTGGAGCATCTCATGCAGCCGGGCTGGCAGCTTGGCCCACACAGGGCTGGCTGCATCGGACTTGCGAAACTGGCGCCTCTTCTTGAATCTGACGAGCGTGGTCCAGGCTGCAGACATGTGGAAGTGGTTGAAGAGGTTGGCATCCACCAAAGGTTTCTCCAGAAGTGCCAACAACTCCGAAGCCGAGCCGGCTTTCGTGATTTGCGCTGTCAGCCGCTTGGCCTCACCATCTGAGTTGCGATCCGGAGCTGGTCGCCTTCGCTCCCGGACTCTACGAGGAAGTCGGCTTGCGAAGCTTCGGCCGCCACACGTCACAGCCGCTTTCCACGAGGGTAGTTGCAGGCACCTGTTTCCCGCCGTGCCGCAGAAGTTGTGCCCTGGGCCTTCGCGGAACCAGCACATTAATGCCAAAAGCGTGGCCGCAACCGTCCACCGGCTAACCGATCCCTTCCTCATGGTGGAACTCATGGGTTTCCTCCTGTCCAGGCAAACAGCGGCCATCGCGAAGCCGCCGGAGAGCACAGGCAAGTCTCCCAGTTTCTCAAAAGCACTCGAGCTAAAAAGAGCAGCCTCTGCATCTTACATCACAGAGTATAGGTATGCTACCTGCTACATCATTTTAATACCGCCCTGATCACATGAGTAATTAGCATCTCGAACCCGGTGACATTGGTGTGTATACAGATCGTTTAGAAAGGACGACATACCGGTGTCGGAGTCCAAAAAAGCTCGACACCGCCCGGACCGCATCCCCAGAAACCTAGCACGAAATGAGGCTCTCGGCCCTGTCCACAGTGTGGCCCCTGGGCTCTGAAGCTTCAGAGTCTGAATGCTACAGCCCGTCAATCATTGCTCACATCGCACATTAAGCGAAACTTCTCCTCTCCTTCGAGGAGCAATCTCAGAAAAACTTCAGCTTTCCTATACAGACTGAAAATGGGGTTCTTCAACACTTTAGCAGCATGCTCCTGTGTTGAATAAATACAGCCACGGAGCCCGATACAGGATCCACTTGAATCAACACCTATGCAAACCAACCCGGCCTCCTGGAAAGGAGCCGTGCGTCGTCGAGTCTCGAGTCAGCACCTCCGCGAGGGCAGAAGTGTCGGTGTCTAAGGTTTGCTGAGGTGACCGGTGAAGTTGTGATAAATAGACAGATTGAAATTTGCAAATGAAGGGTTTGGAGATGGCACTGACTTCTCGGTTTGCAACGCTCAAGCAAGCCTGTTCATAACATGACTCGTCGAAAGCCCTGTGAACTTTGCGGATTTCTTCGAGCAGGCAGAGCTTGGAATGTATATGCCTCCAACAATACCCACGACTTCCAATTTCTGATCTCGAGACGCCCTACTGTGTTATGACTATGGTGCTTCTTATATGCCAATGCAAATATTTGCTATCGAGCTCCGGTGGTTGCAGTTGGGGCCAAGCCCTCTTCAAGTCATCGAGCTTGCATCTTTCGACTTATCATGCTTCTGAGTGTGAGATTTCTTCTCGATTCCCGACAAGTCAAGAACATTGCAGCCAGCCCCAAGGACAAAGCTGTGTCTGAACTTTTGCCATCCACAAAAAAGCATCTCATGGGCCTCACGGCCACGGCAGAAGCAGCCACTCCCCTCACACACCCTTGCACTCAAGACCCCGACGTGCTCCCGGAGGGCACAGGTCAGGGTCGGGGTGCAAGTGCATGGAGGAGCGAACGCGTCCACTGCGACCTTCCAGGCTGCATGGCAACCCCAAACATTCGGCCCAATGAACCTCACGCGTTGGTCCATCGAGACCTCGTTGTGCACATACAGACCTGACACTCTATGACTCTATGAACCATGCAGCTTCAAAAACTTGCGTGCGCAGAACGCCTTCAAGTGCTTGGATCCTCGCGACAGGCAGGCTCAGCACTGTCGCCGGTGGAGTTCTGCTTGCAACTTGGCCGCCAACTCCTCCTCCCCAAATCGCCGGGCTGCCTTAAGTGACATGTGCAGCCCTTCTGGCGCCAATTTGCTGATTTGCGGCAGGATGCGCTCACTGAGTTGTACAGCCAAGGCCAACATGTCGGGCGATGCATCTTTGAGCTCTCCGCCTGCCCAGAAGCTGTTGGACAATCCTTGCAAGTCCATCGCGCCGATGGTCCCTTGCATGCGCTGCACTACAGCTGGCACAGCTTCCAAAACCTCCGGTGCCGAAGCTTGGAGCTTTGCGGCTGCCAAGAGGCAGTTGGACAAGTGCTGAGGAATCATCTCCACCACCTTGTCCGGTATTCGCTTTGCAAGAGCTGGCACGGCCTCCAGCACCTCTGGCGACGCATCTTGGAGCTTCGCAGCTGCCCACAGGCTGTTGGACAACTCTTGAGGCACCATGTCTGCCACCTTGTCCGGTATGCGGTTTGCAAGTGCTGGCACGGCATCCAGCACATCTGGTGATGCATCTTGGAGCTTCGCAGCTGCCCACAGGCTGTTGGACAACGCTTGAGGAATCATCTCCTCAACCTTGTCCGGTGTACGCTTTGCAAGCGCTGGCACGGCATCCAGCACCTCTGGCGATGCATCTTGCAGCTTCGCAGCTGCCCACAAACTGTTGGACAACTCTTGAGGTTTCATGTCTTCCACCTTGTCCGGCATGAGCTTTGCAAGTGCTGGAACCGCATCCAGCACCTCTGGCGACGCATCTTGGAGCTTCGCAGCTGCCCACAGGCTGTTGGACAAGTGTTGCGGAATCATCTCGTCAACCTTGTCCGGTATTCGCTTTGCAAGAGCTGGCACGGCCTCCAGCACGTCTGGCAGTGCATCTTGGAGCTTCGCAGCTGCCCACAGGCAGTTGGACAAGCCTTGAGGAACCATCTCTTCAACCTTGTCCGGTGTGCGCTTTGCAAGAGCTGGCACGGCCTCCAGCACCTCTGGCGATGCATCTTGCAGCTTCGCAGCTGCCCACAGGCTGTTGGACAACTCTTGAGGCTTCATGTCCTCAACCTTGTCCGGTATGCGTGCTGCAAGTGCTGAAACGACTGTCAGCACCTCAGATGACGTGTCTTGAAGCTTTGCAGTGGCCAGCAAGGAGTTGGATAAATCCTTCGGAAGCCTTTGCTCGAATGGCTTCGTGAAGCTTCGGAAGAACCTGCAACATGTGTTTCTCTATCTCCTGAGGAAGCTCGCCAGCGGCATAAAAGACATTTGCCGCCGCACGTGTTGGTAGCAAGTCCTCCCGAAGCATGTGACGCAGTCGAGCTCCGAGTTTGGCCCACACCGGACTGCTCACATCAGCCGGACGAAAGGGGTGCCTCTTCCTGAATCTGGCCAGCCTTGTCAAGGCCGCCGACATGTGGAAGTGGTTGAAGAGGTTCGCATCCACCAAAGGTTTCTCCAGAAGGGCCAACAACTCCGCAGCCGAGCCGGCTTTCGTGATTTGAGCCGTCAGCCGTCGGGCCGCACGATCATCATTTGGGTTGGGACCTGGCGCTTGTCGCCTTCGCTCTCGGACTCCACGAGGAAGCCGGCTTGCGAAGCTCCGCTCATAGGATGCGACTGTCACTCCCCAAGAAGGCTGTTGCAGGCCATCGCTGCGTGCTGCCCTGCCGCAGAAATCGGGCCTGCCGGGGAGATCGTGAATCCAGTATGCCGCCAAGAGCGCGGCTACCAAGGTCCTCCGGAAGGTCGGCCGCATCACAGCCCTGCCGCCCGGGGAGCAGCAGGTGCTAAAGCTTCTGGAGCACATGGGCAAAGGCTTAGACGCTGGCAGTTAGATCAATGGCATTGAGCCGCAGAAAGAGCTGCCGCGGGGTCTCAGATTGCAGAAGTGCAGATACTTGCGACCGACATCGACATCTTCTTGCGCACACGGGCCATGTGCCATGAGCGAGAAAAAACTACAACTCACGCAAGTCCACTCTCATATTGTAGAATGACAAATGACAATCCACATCCCGAACCACCAGCTAGATGACTGAGGGATCATTTGTCTCTTGCGCTCGGACAGAAACCCCTGCAATCTTGCCCCGATGCAGAGCTCCCAAGCTCACGGCGCCTCATTGCTCTGTCTCTCTGTCCGCAAACTCCTCGCAGGACCGCTCTCATCAGCCGAACAGTTTCGAGTTCAAGCTGCGGGGGCAGTTGGGGGCCCAAAGCTGAAGCAAGCTTTGTTGCTGGATCCCCTTTGAAACCAGAACTCTCGTGGCCCGCAAAGTGCGAAGTGGCTTAACTGGAACACGCCAAACTTAGCCAGCATCTGGCCGGAAATTCCAAATCAGCGACAAAATCCGGCGAGATTTTCAAGGGCCCGATGCGTACACAGCCACGACGGATAGGACCGAGATCAACGGGGAAGCTTGTTGGGGCATCTTCTTGTGCGGTAATAGAGGGGCCTAAATCATTACCTACTATTTTTGAGGCGTCCTTATTATATTTAGAATATTATATAGTTCCCCTGCAAACCCTGTTCAAATTTCTAGGGCCCATGTAATACACAAAAGTGACCAACCACACAATTACTTCGATGCCTGTGCTGCTGCTGCTGCTGCCGCTGCTGCTGAATATACTGACACAAAGTATATCAGGGGCAGGCGATTGGGGCGAGGAACCTTAAAATCCTGAGGGTGTTGCGGATCTCTGCTTGAAGCTCCCCTGTGAAGCTTCGCAGTCTCCGTGGAGCCATCGCTGAGGCATGCTTAGCCGGGCTTGGGCTTGAGAGTTGAAGCATGTGGATTCTATCTGCTGCAAGTTTTCGAGATGCTGACACCGCCGCCTTGTCCCGGACGAGTCCTTCTGCCACGTCTTGCAGCGAAGGCAACTGCCCCAGGCAAACCTGCCAGGGCTCTCGCGGTGAAGGCACCACGAAGCTGACAGACATGGACTTCGGAAGAAGAGTCCCAGTATCCTGACGAAGTGAATTCAATTTGTCCGAAATGAGCTTGTGCCGAGAATGCCAACGAAAGCAAGCATTTGAGCAAAAAGTCACCAAACCGACCTTCCCCCTTGACTTGGGACCGCTTCAATACAGTAATTATGTAGCCTGCGTGGCCCCCAAACACCTACCATCCAATCCCACCCGCTGATCCTACGATCCTACAACGTAGCTGAAGGACAGCAGGGCTCCTCAGCCGCCTTAGCCCTCTGATGCCTTGAAACATCGTGAAGCCCATGGACCCTCAACATCTTTAGGCGTTGCTCACTCCGGAAGCTTCCAGTGATGTATCCAAGCTAGAACAGCTAGAAACTCGAAGAAAGCTAAAGACAAGCTGAGAGAGAAGCACTGCTACCCTCAAAAATGGAATCCAATTCTGACAGCAAGTGCTCGATCTCCAGATTCGTGAGTCAGCTGCATTCACCTCTTGAGTCTTGACAAGGTCGAGCCATTGGGCCCTTGATCTATAGGTGCCAAAACCTCAAAGACTCTTCAGCTACTGAAACTGAAGCCTTTCGCGGAGCCCAAACGGCATCCAATTGAATCCGGGACCCACCGGGCCTCTTTAAGGCATGCCAGCCGGACGTTGAGTCTTGAGCCTGTGATGAGAACCTCGAAGAGCCAGAAGCTTCAGTGTCCGAGATGTGCATTACATTTACTGTTTACGCTGCAGTAGATGAAGCACCATCTCTACAAGATAATTGTGGATGCAGCGATGTGCGGTCAAAGGCTTGCAACTGGGTGGACTTAAGTAAGCTTTCGCTGTGTTGGAGGCTCCGCGTCGGGAAGAAACACTATGACTATATAACTTAGCTTAAAATAAGTTTAAGGCTCGAGCTCTTCCTATGCAAGCTTGCAAGACCCCTCGAACTTTCAGGAAGAACTCTCCAACAGTGTGTGTGTGTGTGTGCGCGGGCGCGCGGGCATTTTGCCAACTGCAGCTTGCGAGCACAAAGCTTCATGGAGTGTAGGCTGCCTAACCATGAGGTATGTTTCTGAACATCTGACGCTGTACCTTCATGATTAGGATACGTTTACAAAGCTTGATCTGGAGCTCTTGCGGTTGCAGCCAGCCGGACATGCCGACTGGATGCAGAGGAGCCTTCGCATGCGACTCGTCGCGTGGCTGGGCCTGCCCGATGCGCAAACAAGTAGCATTGAATCAACCGTGTCCGACATCCCGGCAACATTGGCCATACAGGTCAACTGCACTGGTGCTGGTCATTCTAAGCACAGCTTTTTGCGTTCCTCATTCACAATCATGCATGAATCTAGAAGGCACGACGCCTCACAGCAGCAGCAACGGCGGCAGGCACTCCCTTCATACACTTGCACTCAAGACCCCGGACGTGCCCCCGAAGGGCACAGGACAGGGTCGGGGTGCAGGTGCATGCAGGAGCGACTGTGTCCGCGGCTATGAACGTCGAGGCGGCATGACAACTCCAGGTTGGTCAGATCAAAAAAATCGCTGCCATTTTGTTGCGGAC